AACTGAAAATATAAACAATTCAAAGAACAAAATAAAAGAGATGGTGGAAAACAAGGAGGCAGACTTTCTAGAGATGGAGGAAACAAAGTATGACAAGGGGAATAGGAAAGAGGTCGCAGGGAGAAGGGGGTCAAAAATGATCAAGATAACAATACATCTGTACCAATTCACCAAAATTAATAAATATTATTTATCACAAAACATACTAATAATAAATAAAAATATATCTACTTGAAAATAAACAGATGATGTCTAAAGCCAAAATAAAAACCAAAGAAAGATATTTGCGAAACAAAGATGGATAAAAAAAATGAGCCACTACAAGTCAATTTACAACAAAAAATACAATCCTCTAAAAAAAATAAGAAACTCAGCAACTAAAAACTAAAGAATCCAGATAGTCAATAAGCATTACAAAACTACTCAACCTTATTAATATTTAAGAAAACAAATCACCAAAACAAAATGCCATTTTTAACTTGTCAAGCAGGCAAAGAATGCTTTTTTTTTTTGGCGGTACTGGGGATCGAACTCACGACTTCACGCTTGCCAGGCAGGCACTTATGCTGCTGAGCTAAATCCCCAGCCCGCAAAGAATGCTTTTAAAAGCCGGATAGTATAAAGTGGGCAAAGGTGAATAGAATGTACTATTAGTCAGAGTGTAAATTAAATCCTGCATGAGGTTTTTGATTACTTAAAAAGTATACATTCTTTAACCCAACTAATTTACTTCCCAAAATGTATATTGTCATGCAAGATAATGCTCTTTGAAACAACAAAACTAATACAGGGAACAATCTGCATGCCTACTAATAGAGACTAGTTAAATAAATTACCATATATTCATCCAATTAAATATTCTGCGATAGTGAAAAGGCTTAAATAGAGCTTAGAAATATTCCTCAAATACATTAAATGAACAAAAAAAGTTGAAGATTAATATATATAAGTATATATATTATATAAATATATATATTATATATACATATATATGTAATATATATATGTCTCATTGTTTTTAAGAAAATAAGATATGTAAGTATGGGGTCATGCTTATTACCATGGTCAATATGTCTTATTTATGTATTAGGTATAAAGTTTGGTCCCCATCCTATGACACTATAGGGAGGTGGTAACACTTTAAAAGAGACAAGGCCCAGTTAGAAATCTTACAGTGAAGAGGAAAATGCCCTCTGAGAGGACTGTGGGACTCTAGTTTCTTTCCCTCTCTCTACTTCTTATCCCCATGAGGTGGGTGGCCTCTACCACTGTGCACAATGCCATTAAGTTCTGCCTATAACAAACAGGTCCAAAAACAACTGACCAATTCAACTGTCGACTAAAACCTCCAAAACTGTGAGCCAAAATAAGCCTTCCTTCTTACCAAGTTGATTTACCTCAGGGGTTTGATACAGGAACAAAGGTAATATACTTGTTTATGCACAAAATTTTTCTTAAAAGGTAAAAAAGTTAACTGTATTTATTTCTCAAAATATAAATACACAAAGATGAGTGAACATTTTGTACCTCTGAATTATGTTTTTAAGTAATTTATGTATGTTATTTATAATAACATGTCTATAAATAAAATTTTCAATTCTCTCGTGTTAAAATTTAGTCCTCAATGTGCCAGATAAATTAACATCATTTCTCCGTAAGTAGCAGCTACAATCAAACCTTGAGGTCTATTCAGAGAACCACATAACATATTCCCTTCCCTGCATATATATATTCTAGTCTCCATGAGGCCATTTTCTCCCTATTATGGTACAAATGACTCAAGCCTCCCTTTCTACAGTCATGCCTCCTGGCCAGTCTTCCAAAGACTCTTTTGCAAATCTTTATCTTTACTTTGTGCTCAACAGCCAATTCTCAGATGTAAGCAACCACCCCAGCTTCCAGCCTACAAAACATTCACAGAAGGCATGTATTAATGTTACCCAACCTCAGCTCGGGCCTCTCTCCATTACAGTTCTTTAATAATCCTTGTCTCCCCTCAGTACATATTGTACAATGTCACATAAATGAGTAACATCTGCTGATCACTTGTCACATGCCAGCCACTCGAGATTCTCTTATTATACATATTTATGTAGCAATGATGACATATTGTTCTGATATTTGGCAATGTAACAGTAAGTGAAAACTTATCTGCACTGGGTTTAGTTTAATATAGATGATAGAAGTTAATCAAATAACTACACAAATATAAAATTACAAGGATAGGCAGATACACTTGGTGCCTTATAAACTAGAGAATGTAACTTAATCTGAAGAAAACCGGATGCTTCCTTAAGCAAGGAAGCTTGATGACAAAAGCAGTAGTGGAGGGAGTCGTTATGACAACTTTCTAAGTGGGCACTAACTTGAGGTTCATTTTATAGATAATATCATAGAGATTTAGGTAACAAGGCTAATAAATGATAAAGGTGGGGGAGTGGAATCCAGATAATGAGGAGTATCACTCATAAAGCTTTGCATTAGCTCCTTATTCTTTTAGAACAAAACGCTCTTACACAGAGCAGAGTTTGGGTCTCTCACACTTCCAGCCCTAACTCTCACCTTCCCCCATCCCTCCATACCCAACTTCTATCCTGTCATTATTCTACATGACTAAATCCCCATAATTTTCATAGCAATATACAGTAGGCCTGGAGATAGAATGATCAGCAAATACAAGGAACTGGCCACTGAATATAGAGAAAACTTGCCAAAGGATCTTTAAAACAGATGACCGAGAGGTACAGCTGTGAAAAGAGGAAGGGAGCCCTTCATGTGGATAGTCTTCCGCTTATGTGGAATAACCCATCCATGTCCTCACTGTGAGCCTAGCAAACCTATTAAGCCTTTAAAACCCACATCAAATGTCTCCTCCTTCTATCTCCCCAAAGAAGACAGTCTCTTTCTACCATTTTACTCTCAAGGTTCTCTGAACACAGCTGTAATACACTCAATCAATAGTGTGTGACTTCTCCAGACCGAAGAGTTATCACATTTCATCAGTAATATTTCTTGTGTATCTAGATAAATCCAAAGGTGTCAATCCTCATTTTATCTCATACATCAGTTACATTTGATGAAACTGAATGTCATTATTTCACTCTGAATGCCACAGCACCAGAAAATAAATTTTCCTTGTTCCCTGCTGGCTGTGAGTCTGTCCCTCTCGCTGGTTCTTCTTCATCTCCCTAATTTGTAAATGCTAACACACCTAAACAATCAGGCCTTGTGCTATTTCTTTTTTCTATCAACATTCACTCCTTTAATGACAGGCACTAGTCTGATGACTTTAAATATCATCTATTCATTGAAAATTCCCAAATGTTTGTTCCTAGCTATGACCATTCCTGCACTCTAGGATCATATATTCAACTGCCTGCTCAACATTTCTATTTGGATGACTAACATATCTTAAATTTCACATGTCACAACTGAACTCCTAATCCTCTCCCATAAGCCTGTACCTCCCTCAGTTCTACATGTCTTGGTTAATGGCAATTCCAGTCTTCTAGTTGTTTAAGCTCAAAGTTTTGACAATTATCTTATACTCACACACATATTCAATCCATAAGTAAATCCTGTTGGCTTGACCTATGAAACACATCCAAAGCTGAACTTTCCCTCTTCCTTTCTTTTCCTCTTATGACGCTATCATTTTATCTGAATTATTACAACACCTTCTTAATCAGTCTCCTGGCTTTCATCCACTCCACCTTTCAAGAAGCTATTCTTAACACAGCAACTGGAGAAATCCTATGAAAACCTAAATCTGATCACATCACTTTTCTGCTCAGAACTTTCCATTAGTTATTGACTCATTAGACTCTTCATAATAATCCCCTAAAGTAAAAATAACAGTATACATGGGTGCAGATTAAGTGAATAATACAGGCATATTTATTAGCACAGTACTTGGCTACCATTTAAAACATTAGCTGGTAATATTAATCATTATTTTTGCTGAACTGGAAATGATCAAAGCATCCTAATCCAATGTGGGCTATTTAGAGTCATACTTGAAGGGTCAAATGTTCTGAAACAGTAGCTGAGCTAATATTAATATGTATGAGGAGCCATTGGAAAAGTTAAAACAGAATTAAGTAAAAATTTTACCACTTCAGAATGGATACACAAAATACAGCTATTTGAAAGTAACTAAAACATCTTTTAACTCTAAGAATTTTGTTTTATTTTGAGAAACCACTGTTCACAGTCATTATTTTATATTCCAACAAAACAATGGATTATTTTCACCAAGTACAAGCTGTTCTCTGAACAAGATTATCCGTTATCTTTGAAACAATAACATATAGTCAAGTTTTGGTTCAGTTTATTGTAAGATAGTCCAAATGGGTTAATATGTGAATATCTCATTTGGAACACAGCTTGATCAAGCTAAAATCGAACTGAAATCAACAAACATGCCGACATTAAAATTATCTTCTATCCTAAGTCTGAGTCACACTGAACTTTCCTGGGCCATGAATAAAAACTGCTCTCTTGGTATTATCCACTGCAGATTTCAACTAAAGGTCAAAATCAGCCCACGTTCTCAGATGGGCTAATATAGCAAGAGCAGATGGTCCCTAATCAGACAATCTGTAATCAAAAACATGTTACTTCCTTAGGTCCCCTTCCACATTAGCCTTTCTCCCTACACAAAGTTTAAAGTCAGCTTCAATTTGTAACGTCGTGTATTTTATTTCTCGCCGCCCAGTATTTGAGGGGATGCAGAATTAACAAACGAAGAAAGAGAAAAGATCGAACCAAGAGAGAAATGAAAGGCCTGGATAAATCAAAAGTCAGCAAGCAGCCACGAGGAAGCGGGGGTCCTGCACCAAGGCTCCCCATAGCACTCAGCTGCCACAGATCTTATTCCCAGGAGGCCACGCAGGGCCACCCGACTCCTACTCTGACCAGACACGAAAGAGTAAACCAAGGACAAAAGAAGTGGGCCTTCGCAGAAGTACGAAAAAAACTCCACCAGCTTTGAAAAATACCTCGACACCTTCGATTCCCGGCTCCTGAAAACCGGTCGCGCGATGACGACGTCAACGACGCGCCGGCTCCGGCTGTAGGGCAAACGTCGCGCTCCGATGACCTCACGCTGCTCGCCCACCCTTAAATTGCTTTTCCCGCGGTTTTGAAGGGAAGTGCTCTTGAGAGCAGAAATATGGAAAGAATTGGGGAAGAGGCGCCGCACACCTTTCCTAGATTTGTTCGGTGAACACCCACCGCCAAATACAAACTGAACATGCGTAAGTAGAAAACAAATGTTAATAAAGCTTTGTTCACGTTTTTACTTTGGCTGAAGTGCCTGTCAGAGCTCTGGTTCTTAATACACTGTCTACCTCAAAATTAGGTTTCTAGAGCAGCTTTCGAAATTAACCCTGAAAGAAGAGGAGTTCTTTAGAGTCACAGCCCATCGCAGAGATGCTTTTGTAAAATACAGTAAAAAATGAATGCCAGTGAAACGAAATGTTCAAAATAGAAACTCAGATTTTTGATTACTAGTTTTGATAAAATTTTAGGTAAAATTGTATTTTGGTGAACAGAATCAGAACAAACAGGAAAAAATCACAAAAACTATACTAAGTGTTCAAATTGCATTGTTTGATACACATCACTTTTTATCGTTCCATAGTAATTTAACAAAAAAGTATGAACAAATACTAATTCAGATGCTGTATTATATGTCTATAAAAAAAGCACTTTGAACAATCGTGATATATGCCAGTTCTACATATTCTTAAAATAACAAATTATCTTTGTTCCTAGATTTTTACTCTATATAGCTGGATGAAAGACAACGCTTCTTGCAGTGTTTGTGAGGATAGTGTGTATTTTGAACGTTCTTATTTTCATACTGTGGTGTAGAAATGAATTTCAGGTAGCTATGCTGACAGTATAGCTCTTAAAGCTGTTTTAGCAAGTTTAGAATATCCATTTTTAGCTTCTTTCTACATTTTCAAAATGCGCCATATTTTCAGAATTTGTCCATTCTTCGTCAGTTGCCACTTTCAAACAATTTAGCCTTTAAGTTACCATGAAATGTATATACACTGTTAGAATCACAGTTTGAAACTAATATTAATGTCACAAATTGTAATGTAATCCTGCTGTACAAAATCAGTACACAGTTCATAGGACAGGGCGCTCATACTATGAGTTCAAAAATATCCATGTAATCTACACCCTATTCAAAAAAACCAGTTCACTGACAACCAGTGTTGCAGCAAATGTGAAACTGCTATAAATATCATTATTACTTTGGTGCTGGGCAAAATACTATCAGGTACCGAGTTATTCTGGGTTCAACTTTCCTAGGTCTCAACCTTTTTCATGGTTTTTTGCATCCAATTCCCAAAGAGTGATCTACAGATCAATGTCAGTCTATGAATTATTGTTAAAGCTCCACAAAGATAGATGTGCAGAAATTGATAATAATCACTTAGAAGCTTTTATAGTAATTGGGTCCTTCGAGGAAAGAAAAACACTGTCCTGGACTTAGGAGTGGCAGAAACTAGGGATGAGAGTCTCATAAAGAAAGAAAAAGCAGCAGAAAAATCCTCAGATCATGATGCACATATGTCAGACAAATCTGTTAACCCAGTAGTGAGCTCCAGAGCAAAGAGTGCTCCTCAGAGAAGATCACACATGGCAGAAATGATCAGTTGCTTCTCTACATGCAGTCACTGAACTGCTTTCCCTCTTCCTATGTTCAATCAGTGGAAGAGGCTGCCTTTCAAGAGTGTGGCATCAACTTGAAAGCTGAGGCAGATCCTGAGATGCTGCTCACTGGAAGCCTCTGGCTAACTGCACTCCAGATAATTCTATGATTTGTTCAACAGTTATTTCCTTACTTCCCATTATATGTTAGATTCTATTCTACATGCTATAAATATAGTAGATTCTTTTTTACATTGTCTTCCATTACAGAAATTACATTCAAATTTCTTACTGGAAATTCTTTTGCCTTTTTTTTCTTCTTTATCCTAGATGTCCTATTCTTTTTTTCACTCCTTTTTTCTTCTTAAAATCCTGTCCATTTTTATACTTGAACCTTCTAATATATACTTATCTGTTTAGGAACAATGGAGGAAAAAAATTATCCAAATCCTCAAGCAACAGAAAAAAATGTATAATGATAGTGTTTTAAAACCCCTGTGTCATGCTGTGTCACAGCTTCTGTCATAGTGGTCTCTTTTGTTGCAAGAGAAACTTTTCCAAACACTCAGTGGGTGCTTGTAACCATGGATAGTACTAACGTCTCTACAGATGGTCCTTAACTTATGATGAAACTGTAGCAGAAGATGCCTGCCTCCACTGCCAGTATACTTCAGTTTTTAGTTGCCTGGTAATAGTTCTGGTTATAGTTCCTGTTACTTGGTTACTGTGATGCATATTGTAAGAATCAGCCACCAATTGACAAGCCATTCTGCCTCTGTGCTTCCTGCTTGCTTATCCCATATAAGCGCTAGACTGGCTGGTGGTTTAGCTTAGCAGCATAAGTGCCTGCCTGCAAGTGTGAGGTCATGAGTTCAATTCCTAATATCACAAAAAAAAAAGTCTTAAATAAATAAAAGCCAAAAGACCAGAGTAAGACCCTCTCCAGGTCCTTATAGGAAGGCACACCCTCAGGGTTTCTCAAGTCCCCTCAGAGAATGAAGATTCCTTGCTCCTGCTTGGGCAGCTCACATCACACCCCAAAGAGAGGAGGACACTGTCTCTCTCTCTCTGTCTGTCAGTCCTGCTTAGCTCAAGTAGAGGGGGGATCTGATAAACTCTAGTTAGTCAGATTCACTCTCAAGGGAAGGGGGTTGGAATGCTTAACTTCTGAGTGCCTATTGGATGAATGTGTGAATAAGCAAAATGGACAGCATAAACAATAGGTTGCTCCATTTGTGCACCAAGACTGGGAAGCACTGGTCATGGTGGCTGATTAGGCCCTCACGTATGGCTCCAAGATATATGGCATCATGAAGCCTCATACCCTCCTTAAGTAAGTCATGCCTAAGTTCCCATGAAGGGCAGCATCTCTCTCTCAGGAGCACACCCTTTGGCTATTGTGCTATCATTCAAGGGTACATAATACATATATAAGAAGTAAAAGATGAGAACTAATTAGTCAAAACCTATAGTCCCTGACTAGGAAAAAGGGCTTTTACAGAATTAAAAATGAAACCAAACCACTCTCTGAGTCTCAAAAAAAAAACAGGGAAAAGAGATCCATTCTTCCTGAAAAATTGACGGTGGCACCCTTGTTGCCTTTTTTTTCTTCTTTATCCTAAATGTCCTATTCTTTTTTTTACTCTTTTTTGCTTCTTAAAATCCTGTCCATTTTGTTGGCTGCCGCAATTGCTGCCAACACCTATAACTTCACTCCCTACTCCTGACTCATCTACTTCCAGCCAGTTAACTCGTTCCAGCTAGCTACTGCTTGTATTAGGTCACAAAGGCCTTCCCCTTGGAGCTTTTTACTTCTATTCTAGTCAGATGGACTCATCTAATAGCACCTGAGACGATTGTCAGCAGTTCCTTCTGAGTTCCATATTTTGACTGGGCAAAACTTGGATGATCAGCCTTGACAAATGAATTGCCATGATCTTTCCAAATCACCTCACCTAGAAACAACCTAGTTAAGTGCGGGGACATCGAAAAGGGAGGCTAAAAGCCCTCAACCACTATTACCAAGGAACCTGATTAAAAATGAAAAAACCTGATGTCTATAAGAAAATCCAGTCTGATAGGTGACCATAGCCTCTAACTATGAGTTATAAGGGCTATGGGCACAAAGAATAAATGCTCTTCCATCTGTAAGACACAAAATAACCTGACTATCCAAGCCCACCTCAACCTGAACCCCTCCTTACCCTACCAGACCTGGATAGACAGGACAGACCAAGTTCTATCAAACTGGGCCCCAAGAACCCACGGTCACTGCAAAACTTGGAGACAAACCTGTGACTTCCCTGGTAGACAATGAGACAGACCTGTCTGCCTTCAAAATTCCTTCTGTGAAAAAGTTACCATCACCAGGGCAACTTGGACTCTTGCTTCTTGCCAGTTCTCCAGGGAGAGGCTTGCACCTGGGAGGACATATCAACAAACATAAATTGCTTTATCAGCCAGCCCCTCCACAACCACTTCTGGGAAGAGACCTTATTTTCAAATTACAAGTGACTGTCTTCTTTGCACCAAGCCAGTCAGACAGCTTCCTTCTCTTTTAATGCTGTACTTCCAACTTTGACTCTTTCCCAAGAAGAGGATGATGCCTGCATCAACCTGAAACTGATAACCACAATTCTGAAAACTCTCCTCCCAGAGGTATGGGCTAAAGACTCGTCTCTGGGCCTGGCCATCAATTATGCAGCCTTACCACAAGCCCTATTGCTGTCAGATGTCATGGGAAACACAAACAGGCATCCAGCTACTATCAACTTGATAAACTGTTCATCACTTTGGGCAGGATCTCTGTGCCATCACCTTGCCATCTGCAGCTCCCTACCTATACACCGTTTTTGAACATTACTCAATTGCCACAAGGGTTTGAGAACTTTCCCACTATTTTCAGGGAGACCTTAGAAACAGTTTTGGCTCCAGGACAGCCTGTTTCTCTGTCTCTTTCAGCTGTCATGACCCACCCCTAAAAAAGGAAAAACTAAGGCTTCAAAACTGCAAAATGTCTACAGACTGTCAAACTGCTAAAACACACCTCTCTTGCCTGTAAAACCAGTTCAAGATCTCCAAACTGCCAATACCATGCTGATTGCCCTCCATATACATTGCCTTAGCCTTCTACCACTGACAGCCTACTGGTACAACTACCTGGACCTTAAAAAAAGGCCTTCTTCTGCTTTTGATTGGCTCTTGTCAGGCAGTCCCTCTTTGCCTTTAAATGGAAAGACCTCAGTTCTGGACTCAAAATTCAACTGACCTGGACTCAAGCTCCCAGAGATTCAAAAATTTGCTTACCCTCTGGAAAAGCCCTCACAGCTCACCTTGCTAGTTTCCCAGCACAAAATATCACTGCAGTTCCAATTGATATACCCAAGCTGCCCACTGGACAGACATAAAAGCTCTATCTACTACAATATCTGGCAGCAACTGATTACAAGAAAGAAGCTCCACAAATTCCTTGGAGCGG